GACTCGACGGCACATAACAACAACAACAACAACAAATCTTTACAGAAGCAGACTGCCTCATCTTTCTTCCACTGAGCAGCTGGTGGGTTCAAACCACCGACCTATTGGTTAGCAGCCAAATGCCTTAACCACTTTACCACCAGAGCTCCTAGAAAGGAGACTAAGATAATAATAATGAAACAGACTCATATGTAAGCCAAAACCTGGGCTCCCATAATAGGAAAGCAATAGATGAAACTGACTCATCAGGAAACTGATTTATGAGCACCAATTAACATTTTACAGACAATTGACCCAATCTTCTCAACAAACTACAGTCACAGAGGGCAAGTTATATGGAGATGTTGTTCTAGGTAAAGACTGAAGAGATATCAAAACCAAATACAACACATGGGCCTTGACTGTAAAAGAATGTTCCGGAATAACTGGAGCATGTACATATGGATTGGTCTAATAGTCAGGGTCCTAGCAAAAATCAGGCTGCACTCAACCAAGATTGCCTAAGGGACTGCAATAGGTTTAACTGTGTCTTCCAAAAGTTGAATTGTCAAAAGTTGTGTAGTAGATATATTTATCACGAGAAAAAAAAAAAAAGAGAGAAAGAGAGTAGCTGCTGAGGCTCCTTATGTATGATCAAATACCTCATGGGGTCTACCTCCTCGGTTTGGAGGTTCAGGGTCATGGTTTCATAGGACAGCCCAGCAAACTGGCCTAAAAACATGTTTAGTGCCTCTGTTGTACCTCCTAGTTCACTGTGGAGTGTCTGGGTTCTTAAAATGCTTGCCAGTGGGCATCCAAGGCACAACTGATCTCTATAGGAGGACATGGAATGTGTAGTTAATTGCTTCCATGAACAACTGCCTTCTTTGCCATGAAACCAAAAGTGGATGGAGACCAGCTACCATTACTGGACTTTTTAATCAAATATTCTATAGAAGAATCCTGATCAAAAGGGGGGCACTGTAGAACAGAATTTCAAATGCTTATGGAATCTAGAGTTTCTGGAGCCATGGGGGTTGGATGAATTCCCAAAACTATTGCCCTGAGATAATCATTAAACCTTAAACCAAAAATACTCCCTAAAGGCTCACCTAAGATGCAACAGTTGATCTCTCCTCATGCAGAGCAAAAAGAAATGAAAAAAACCAAAGATGCACAGAAACAATTAGTCCAAGGGACTAGGGAACCTCAGCTTACATGACCCTGAGATCAGAAGAACTAGATCGTGCCTGGTTATCACTGTCAACCATTCAGAAAGAGATCAAAATAGGACATCCTGGATGGAGCGGGAGAAAAATGTGAAACAAAACTCAAAATCATAATAAAGACCAGGCATACTGGTCTAATAGACGCTGGTGAAACCCCCAAGACTATGGCTCCTAGTCACCCTTAGGGCCTAGAACTGAACTCATTCTTGTGGCTTCCAGCCAAACAACAGACAGGCATATAAGGAGCACATTTACATCAGGTAAGTACACTCCTTGGAACAATCAACCGTGGGAGATCAGAAAAGGAGTATTTGCACAAGGAGATAGCTCAGAGGGCAGAAATGCAGAGCAAAGAACGACACGAGGAAAAGGTAACTACAGGGAGGAAGAGGGAAGAGAACTGTTACATTATGCGGATTACAATCAACGTCATGAGATAAAATGTGCATGAACTGTTTTATGGAAAATGAATTTGCTCTCTAAACTTTCACCCAAATCACAACTTAAAAAAAAATATTTCTTAAAGTCTTCTCTGGTAGCATAGTGCCAAAGGCACTTGATTGCTAACCAGAAGTCTGGTGGTTCAAACCCACCAGTCACTCCTCAGAAGGAAGGTTGGGCCATCTACTTCCATAGCGATACCACCTTAGAAACCCAAGGAGGGGTCGCTATGAGTCAGGTCCGACTCTATGTCACATAACAACAACAAAGTCTTCTTAATACTAAATAACAGCTTAGCTTAACTAGTGAAGAATGTCTGCCTAGAGCATTGTGCTCTTTTAAGATCTATCTATGTGGGATCAAATCAACAGCAACTAGAAAGATTAGCTAGGAACCTTAAGGAGCAGTGAGTTTATGTTAACGACAGAAGAGCAATTTGGAAAAGGAGCATGAGAATGGTTGTACAACTCAAAAAATGAAATCATTGGCAATGCACTGTGTTATGTAGAAACTGTTGAATTGGTATATGGTTTACAGTGTATTATTCTCAGCAATAAGGAAAAATAATTTGGAAAAGAAAAAGAATTACATGGAAGTATTGTTGTTGTTATTTGCCATCGAGTCGGCCCTGACTCCTAGCGACCCCTCCTTGGGTTTCCGAGGCAGTTATCACTACGGAAGTAGGATTGCCCAACCTTCCTTCTGAGGAGTGGCTGGTGGGTTTGAACCGCCTCCTGGTTAGTAGTCAAGTGCCTTAGGTACTATGCTACCAGAGCTCCTACATGGAAGTAAGAGGGACATTAATCAAGGGTCAAAAGACTTTTCTACAAAGGGCCAGAGAGAAACTACACTAGGCTTTCCATCCGGGCAGTCCATCACAGCACAAAATCAGCCAGAAACTACACAAATGAATGGGTATGGCTAGGCTCCCACACTTTATTTATGGACACTGAAATTTAAATTTCCTGTGATTCTTTCACATCACAAAATATTACTATTCTTTTGCTTGTTTCCCACTCTTTAAAATGCAGAAACCATTCCCACCTTAAGGGTTGTACAAATCAGGTGGTGGTCTAGACATGGCCTCCAACCTGTGTTTGCCAAGCCTTGAACCATACAGATAAGATCGCACCTAAATTTCTAACTAAAACCAAGAACTACCAAGCAGATTATTAATGAGCACACTCCCTAGGCCAGATGCTCCTGCAGTGCTAGAAAGGTCAGGTTCTTCACACAGGATCTCAGCCTGGGCCCATCCCACTACCCCTGAACTAATACTGCCTGACCACAGCTGTTGTTGTTGTTATGTGCCGTGGAGTTGGACCCGACTCATAGCAACCCCTCCTTGGGTCTCTGAGGCAGGATCACTACAGAAGTAGACTGCCCAACCTTCTTTTCGAGGAGTGGCTGGTGGGTTTGAACCACCAGCCTTCTGGTTAGCAGTCAAGTGCCTAGCCACTACGCTACCAGAGCTCCTGCTAGGCAGCTCCAATTCTCCCTTGTTGAGGCAGGCCAAAGGATTTTACGAACAACAATATGTTCAGATCAACTTTTAAAGAAAAACAAGGCACTCAAGAAAAATGTGAAGCACCCCACCTTTGATATATAAAATGATTTTGTTTCTAAGTACCCACAAAATCCCACCCCAAGGTCACCACAGACCCACATGGCTGCATCCTCATGCCTGAGATGCATTCAAGGGAAGTTGGTCAAAGCTCAGCTGAACACATCAGTTGACATGTCCAGAAGCCAAAGCACCAAAAAATTTTTTCACATTACAAAGTGAACATCTCAGTCACAAACAATACACTCATCAAGACGGTTTTGCTCAATATATTTTGAAACCAGTTCCACATATTGCTGCTAAATGATTCCGGAAAGCTGCCAAAAGCTCATCTTTATTGATCAGTAATTAGAGTTCAGCTGACAGCCCCTGCTGCTTTGCAGGGTGCACAAAGTTCAAGTCAAAATAATCAGTACACATGAACTTACTAATAATTTCCCTTTAAAATTAAGTCATCCCCAGGGGTTTTATGCCCTATGTTTTGAAAGTAGTCTATTTTATGCACCAATGCTGCCCAAGAGATCTCTGAAAGGATGACAATGGTCTCTACCTGCCACCAGCAGCCACCAGCAACACATAGCCACTGAGCACCTAAAACATGGCCAGTGTGAAAAGCTGAAGTTTTCATTGTATTTAAATTTCAACAGCAACATGTGACTAGTGGATACTGTACTAGGCAGCACAGTATACCACTTAGGATGACAGGACAGTAACAAAATTAAAATAGCAATTATGCTGCCATAAAAATTATCCTTAAAGTGTAGCATGACTGGGGTGGCAGAAAAATCAACTGCTACAACCACAGGGTCACAGGTTTCCTCCAATATGAAGGACCAAATAAAATGCTGAAAGTGATTCACCAGGTCACCTGTACTATCTTTAGCTGTGCAAAAACAATTTTGCATGGATTCCCTTCAACCAGAAAGTGGCACAAAACCCAGACAGGAGGCCCATGTTCAGTGACATGGCATCCTTCAGAGCTGAGGCACATCCAGTCTCCCTAGTCAGCACTGGGCAGCCAGCTGACTGCAACAAGACCACACTGCCATCAAGCATGGGAGTCAGTAATGAAGTCCACCTTGTTCTTTTTCAAAGAGATGCCAAGGCAGGAGAAGCAGGTAGAAACAGCTCATTCCTTCCACGTGGTAAGCTCACCACCAGGAACTGAGATCAACAGCCCAAGGACGCTTCTCCTGATTTCAGCTTCTTGGTGTGTCCATTGGGCCCAGGCTGCGGGCTCTTCCGTCGTTGCCTTTTCTGGAGTTGCTGCTGCAGTCTCTCCTCCTTCTTCTTCAGATAGGTTGTCATGTTGTCGAAGGTGGCCTTATACAGACTGCTGAAGCTGTCCCCAACACCAGCTGAGCCTGGGACAGACACAGAACAGAGGCTGGCTAGGACAAGGGCCAGGACATTGCCTGTTCAGATGCAGCTCCAGTAACCCCAATAAGAACTCCCTCTTAACACTTTATGCCCCCTTAGGGACCCCCAGTCAGAGACCTGACTATTGGACAGGGCTAAGTGTATTTCCCAAACAAAACAAACCAGACCAGTCACCATGGAATCGACCCCAATTCATGGCACACCCACGTGTGTCAGCACGGCTGATTTTTCAGAAGCTAATCGCCAGGCCTTTCTTTGGAAACACCTCCAGGTGGATACAAACCTCTAACTTTCCAGCTGGTTAGCGGCTAAATGCATTAACTATTTGTACCACCCAAAGACTCCATGCGTTTCCAACATGCCCTATATTTTTACTCACCATAAGGGATCCCACTGTGTATAAATTCAATAATCTGCATTTCTCTATAGACAATTTTGGACTTGCTCCTGAGAAGCAATTTATGCTAATGTCATCACCTTCTAACATGGCCCAATTCCTGCGAAGATGACTGGAGACTTTCTTTAGCACGTTGTTTTCAGAAACAGACTGAAGAAGACAAATGGAAAATCTTCATCAGAAAAAGGCAGGACCAGAACCACCAGGCACGGCCCAGCTCACGTGATGGACAACCTGCCAGTGGGAAGATCCACTCAGCCTCAGCATCACGATCTGTGTTCTAGCTCAGACCCAGGGAGCAGGCGGGGGCCTCAGCCCACCAAGCACGCCAGTGGCTGCCATTCATAATGATGTGCACACGTGCCAGGAGCATGGCCGTGTTGCCAGTGGGCACACTGTGCAAACTCTGACCCAAGGAGGCACCAGATCTGGCCAGGACACCTGGGGGACTATGCTTACTGCTGCTTAGCAGAAAAAACACCAAAAAAGTATGAGGAGCGCTGGCAAAGTGCTCAAGCCAGCGAGTGTATTAAAGGTTACAGGGAATTTCCAGACACTCTATCTCATTCATCCCCCAACATTCTGTGACGAGAGGCGTTCCCACTTTACAGTCAGGGAAACTGACTCAGAGAGGTGCAGGCTCGTATTTGTCACCCTTGAGTGAGTGGCTGCCTTACCTTCACTCCTCCCTCCACCCCAGGTACTCAACTCTGCTAAGTTGCCAGCATTAGGAACACAGAACTAAGCCAAACTAGGGCTGGCCTCACTGCTCACATGGCCGTGTGAGGAAAGCACTCATGGGAAAAACTCATACATAAAAGCCATTTTCCAACTCAGGAAAAGTCCGTTTCCAGGCATTAACAGCCTACGCAGACCCTGGCCAAGCTCCCCTCACCAGGCCAGAAACCCCCCTGCCCCTGCTCCCTCACACACACCCCACTGGCCCAGAGAAGTGATAGAACTGAAAAGTCACATATGCAGAGACAACATCAGAATCCCCTCACACACATCCCATGGCTTATGGGACTAAAGGGAACCAGACTATTCCACAAGGGCATCTCACCTGCCACTGCCCCCACACAGGCTGGCAAAGCACCAGCGGGGTTTCCTGGCAGTCCTGGAGGACCCACAGACTCTGTGTCTCCTCAAAGGCGACGTCCCACACACGATGCTGGAAGGATAGTTTCTGCTTGTAAACCAACTGCCGCCGGGGGGCATCCAGCTGGAAGATGTAGACCACAGGGATACTGGGCATGGAGAGAGAGGGAGAGAAGGTACTGCGCCACCACCACCAAGCACATGGGCATCAGCTGACACAGACACATCTTGGCACCCCTGCACCATCCTCACAACCACTGCTATGTTTGAGCCCATTGTTGCAACCCCTTCACACGCCCAAACATCCTACAGCCCCTACACATCTCCAAAAGCAAGAGGGCATACACACAAGCCTAACTTGAATTCTAAGCAACTGGAACCTTTCCTCCTGTCAGGAACCAAGGCAAGTCCACAAGACAGGAGCCAAAGGCTCTAGGACTTCCCATTGTTGTTGTTGTTATTGTTATTTGCCATCGAGTCGGCCCCGACTCCTAGCGACCCCTCCTTGGGTTTCCGAGGCAGTTATCACTACGGAAGTAGGATTGCCCAACCTTCCTTCCCAGGAGTGGCTGGTGGGTTTGAACCACCAGCCTCCTGGTTAGCAGTCAAGTGCCTTAGGCACTATGCTACCAGAGCTCCTGCACTCCTCTGGGGTGGGGTGGTGGCATATGCCCAATCAATTATGGAGAGAGATTCTGTCCAATCAACTGCAATGAGCTACTGAGGTGTGTGTGTGCAGGGGTGGTTAGAGTCTCTCCACTGGCTCTCAGGTGGGGAGGAGTTCTTCTGTCTAATAGGTAACATAGAGAGGGTTCTATCCAATCAGCTCTGGAGTGAGAGGGATTCTGCACAATCAGCTTTTTGTTGGGGCGCAGAATTCTATCCAATTGGCTTTCACGGGAGATTCTATCCAAACAGCTGTGGGTGGGTCTGCTCAAGGAGGATTGTATGATACAAAAAAAATTGGTCAGTGGCCACTGCTACCCTTAAAGCTAGAAAATATAAGTATCAAGTGAGAGAGCATCCTTAAAGAAAAAAACCTGTACCCATCACACAATATCATTACAAAAAAGAGAAATCCACTGAAGGGAAAAATTGTACCAATAACAATGCCTAAATTTTCCTAATTTAGGACGACATGGCCTGTGGGATGAGTGTAACAATTCGCTTAACCCTTGCCTCTCACAGGCACCTGGACAAAGCCACATGGGGCTGCCAGGCACTTACCTGTCACACAGCAGGGCAACACAGCTCTCTTGGCGGCAGTACACAATCCGGGATGCAGTGAAAGCCTGCAAGGAAGAGGAGGGCTTAGCTGCCACCACCACCCAGGAGCTGACCCAGACAGCAGTGTCCAACCTGAGAGCAAAGCCACAGGACTGTATAACTCCTACATGTTGACAAGAAAGGGGTGAGAAGGGATTTCCAGGACTTTCTGGAAAACCGTGGACCATTCATTTCACATAATTCTACCTCCCTGTGGCCAATGGCAGAAGCTTCGTGGTGGCTCTGGCCCTCCCCGAGAGCCTATGGAATGCTTCTAAAACCAAACCGGCCAAAAGCAAGGAGAAGAGTGAACAGACCACTCAGAGGGAAAAGAAAGGGATTATTAATTACCAGACACAACAACTCAAAGCATCTCCACACTTCCTGGCAGAGGAAATGTTAGGATATGAAAAAAACTGTCAGAATCCAGAGCCACAAGAAGTCAGGAGAAGCAGGCCTGGTGCTCATCACAACTGCCCAGGAGGAAGGGCAGAAAGCCCACTGTATTCTCAGGGTGGCCCCTCAGCAGGAGCCAAGGGTATAGCAGCACAGGGAAGCCAAGCCACCCATGTGATGGCAACAAACTAGCTCGAACTGAGTCAGACCCTCTCTTCTGAGTTACCACGCTCTGCCATGGATCTTCTTCACACCAAAAAGGACCAGCACCAGCCTCGCCCTCCCAGATGGCTGTGTGGGTAAAGGGCATGCAGTAGCTGGAAGCAGGGCCAGGCTGACAACCTATGGGCCTGTTACCTGGCCATACCTGACCATTTCACTTCCTAGTACCCTGTCAAGACAGCTACCAAAGAGCATTCCAAGGGTCAGAGGAGTGAGGGCACCATGCAGAGTATGAGCCAGACATGTCCATCTCTCATTTGCCTCCCTCTTAAAATTGGAACTCATCTCTAGACCACATCACGGACACCAAGGGAATATTGATCCCTCAGTGCTGCAGGGGCCCAGCAATACAAATCCAGAGCTCTCAGCCCAAGGACACACAGCAGAGCACCCATGCCATCAAGAAACTCCCACAGGTCAGCGCCATGAGCCAGCTACACAAATCCTTAAGTGAACAACCCTGAGCAGAAACAGAAGTAAAACCCTCCTGGTCTCCTGTGCAGGCCCAGCACAGTGCGAAGCCGTGAGTGTCCTCCAGAAGCATCCCACCGCCCCGCACCTAGTACCCAGTACTGAGCTCTTCTAAGCACACAGGACTCCAGAGCAATCAAAAAGGCATAATGAAAACCTTCCTGGCAACCAAATGCTCACGTGACATGACACCGCAGACACACAGAAGGGCTGGGCTGGATTCAAAGAAACCCATCAATAGGAGGAGCTGGAGAGAAAAGATAGAGCCTCTAGTTTTTGAGAAATAAAGATACCAAAATGTCAGTGAAACACAGGTCACCAAGCAGCATAAACAGCGGGCTCCAGACAGTGCCAGGTTCTGCACGTCTCCTAAGGTCAAGGGCCACGCTCCAGCCTCACCACCCTCCAGAGGGACCTGCACAGCTAGGGCTTGTGAAAACCATCATGCTTACCCAAAGAGCCCCAACTTGGAAGAGACTGGAAGCCGAGACCCCAGTCAATCTTCGCTGGAGTCTATTCTAAACATGAAGCAGCACAGGAAGCTCTAGGTCTTTAAATATCATTAGCCTCAGCACTGTCACCACATCTGAAGACCTTGGCATACCACCCAAACAGCTCAGAGCCTCCAAGAAGGGACATGTGGCCTCTGACACACCCAGGGAGCACAGTACCCTTTGCTGGCACCTCATAACACCCTCAGGTTGCAACACAGTGAGGCGTAATACACTGGAGGAAGGGTGCAGCAGACAGCACTGTGGGCACACGTAGGGCCTCCACAAGGGGAGCATGCACAAGATGGTGCAGGCTGCCCAGAGGAGGCGCAGATGGACATCCCACAGAGCCAGTCAGGAAGGACAAGCTGCTAAACAGCGGCATCCCCTGGTCTCAGTCAGCAAATCACCAGCCATCGCCCCAAAACTGCCAGGAGAGTAGCACGTGGGTAGAACTGATAAGTAGACCTGCCTCTGGCCAAGGTTCCTGTGGGTGGTTTTCCTGCCTCAAAAATAGGGATAGGGGATAGCTGGAGAGTGACTGAACATGCACACAGCACTAGAGCCCAAGGACAGCTGCTAGGAACAGACCAGAACCCACCCCCAGGAAGCACAGCCCAGGTCAGGGCAGTGTGACTGACAGCTGTAGGAAAGCAAAGTGACACAGAGGTAGCCACGGGCCACAGGAGGCCTGCACTGCATTCAGTTGGAGCAGACAGGGCAGGAAAGAAGCCAGAAGGGGTACAACTCACAGCACCCCATTCAAGAAACGAAAGCCACAGGACACCTGACCTGGATGCAACAGGCCAAATCAGAGACCAGGAGCCTGGACAAAACACCCCATCTCCCCACTAGGTTCACATTCTACCCGGCTGGACCTTCACCCCACACCACCTGCTGGCAAGGACAAAGCACTCTTCCCAGTAAGACGACATAAGCATCCCACACAGACTTTATGAGCACTCAAGGCCAGTGCCACCTGGGGGCTGTGAGAGGAGCCCCACAAACAGAGGATGCTCAGGGCACTGAGCCCACCCACACAGCACTCCCGCAAGGCTGCAAGCTCAGGCACCAGTGTTCTCCATTTGCAGGCAAGAGAAAGAGGCCTTTCTGTAAATGATTTGTCCAACACACACAAGGTGAGACTTATATGTGACTCCCACTGATATGACGAGGTGTCTTCGGCATTAAAAATACAACTTCCTCCACACTGGAAGCAGTCTGGCACTAGCACCAAAGAAGTGTTTCCAACATAAAAACATCTGTTCTCACAGAATCTAGGAGCCCAGACACATGCTGACAAATCCAGGTGAGCGGCATGGCACCTTACCTTCTCACTTCGGGGCACATCTGGCTCCTGCAGACTGGTCACGAGACAGTGGTGCAGCTCCAGCCCACTCCGATAATCCCAGAGGCGCAGAGTGCCATCCTGCATGCCAAGCACACATGTTAGCCCAAGTCACACGCAGACACAAGAGGCAGCTCACATTGAGACACCAGGTGTTCACAGGCTGACACATAGCATTGACTGAATGGCCAGCTGTGGTCTGTGGAAATGCTGATGAGTGGCCTCCATAAACCAGAGGCTCCCTGGGTCATCTCACTGAATAGAAGAAGCTCACACTAACCCTCACAAAGAGCATGGATGAACCCACAGCAGAATGGGCCAAGGGCCAAGACAATGAGACCATCTTGTTCTAGGTCAGAAAAGACATATGGTAGGCTCATCTCATACTCATTCACACCCACAGACATTTTATACACATAAGTAATCTACAGTGAGCAAGGAGAAAGCCTCCACCACTCTACCACTCAGGAACAGCAAGCACCACCTAGTGGGCTGCCGAGGAAAAGGGACACACGGACTCCAACCCACAGAGGACTGCTCTACACCTGAGAATCACAACCCTGAACAGCCCCGATCACTCCACCCTATCCCTGGGCTCCTGGCTCTGCTGTAAGGAAACCAGAGGGAAAAGCTGGCAGAAAGGGCACTCACCCCAGAGGTCGACAGCAGCAACTCCGGATGGTCAGGTACCACAAATATCCGACTCACAAACCTGCAGTGGGAAGAGGAGCAGGGACTTAATCCAGGCTCCATGGCATCAGCGCACCATGGAGGCAGCCTATAACCCAGAAAGTAGAGGTCTCTCCACCCTACCCAACGACCTCAAAAGACTTGCTTGCACCCAAGAAGAGGAATGCATGTGACCAGAAATCAACAGACACATGTGTCATCCTTGAGCCCACACCAACAGCACAGGGACACTTCAGTGAGAGGTGCTCTCAGCCTAGAAGCTCCCCTAGTCATGGCCACCGAGGACCACCTCCCTCTTTGCTTTTCACACTTCACCTTGCCAAGAAGCAGACATCACTACACATCTGCCACTGAGTGATGATGGCACCAATGACAGCAAGACCAATAGGACAGAGCATGGGAGAAGGAAAGGCAGGGACATAGAATGCAGCATCACACCTCCTCACGGTCAGGCCCTGGGAACCTGAAGCTCCTGCCACAGAGTAGGTACAAGAACTCGGTCCTTCCCCCAGTCAGCACAGAGCCTCAGCACCAAAAGCCAGAGAACTGTCTCAGCTGGACCACACCAAGTTGCTCACACAGGGCTCTGCCTGCAGCAACCATATAATGTCAAGTCATGGCTGCTCTCCTGACAAAGCAGTGGTGCAGAGTGCACTCTGGGCAGCAGGACCCTAACTGAGGCTTATCTCCCATGAATACAGCCTCTGCACCTCCAGGGTGGAGAGTACACGCAATCCTATCAGCTCGGGCTGCAGCCATCACTAACACACTCAACTCCTCCGTGGTCTCACCAGCTGGCCCACCATGGCCCTCCCCACTAACCAGGCCCCTCCTGGCCTACCCCACCCCCCTCACCAAGGGCTGCCTTCCACAAAGACACTTGGGGCCCCAATCTCAGTTCTTCAAAAGGGAAAAGAGAAAATGCACATTCCAGGACAAATATGCCTTGTTTTCTGCCCTGATGGCACAGGGCTTTCATTCCAGAGGTCACAGGTACCCTCAAAGTTCTCAACAGGAGAAAAACATTCATTCATTCAAGTATCTACCAACTACCTACCATATGCCAGGCACTATGCTGAGTGGGGACACAGCAATAAGTGTAACCCAGAGTCCTTCCAACTAGGACACTGGAAAGAGACCAAAAGATGACTAATGTGAGCTAAGGGCCAAGAACAGTGCTGTCCAACAGAATATGAGGCAAGCCAGATGGGGGCCATGGCCATACTATTTAATGTTCTAGAAGGCACATTAAGAAAGTAAATAGAAACAAGTGATATTAATTTTAGTAACGTATTTACTAAAACACAGTATATCCAAAATATTGTCATTCAACCCATAATTGATGTAAAAAATTACTGAGATATTTCACACTCTTCTTTGCATTAAGTCTTTGAAATTGGGTTATGTATGTGGCACATATGGCTCACTTCCCCTCAGACCAGTCACATATGACACGTGGTTCGTGGCTCTCATGCTGGACAGGACTGGTTAAGGAGAAAGTTCTAGGCCAGGGCAGTTGTTATTCAAGAAGAGGAAGCAGCAGGTACAGTACTGCGTTGTCAGTGATGGCAAGCACTGATCTATGGGTAGATAGATGGGTGGACAGGCTGAATAATCAGGTATGTCTAGGCAGGGGGCACTATGCCCATGGCCAAGTATAGGGTTGGCAGACAATGTTTCTACATGCGTATTTGTATGTGTTGTAAGAATGTCTGGATGTCATGTTCATCACAGCACTATAAAAAATAGCAAAGAGATGAAACAACCTAAGTGCCCACCAACCAAGGAACAGATAAACAAACTATGGTACATACACACAATGGAATACTATGCAACCCTAAAGAATAACACAGAATCTGCAAAACACTGCATGACATAGATAAACTTGGAGGACATTCTGCTGAGTGAAATAAGTCATTCACAGGAGGATAAATATTGTATTAGTCCACTATTGTAAAATGTCAAGGAAAGGTTTATAGATAGAAGGAAACTTTCTTTATTGGTTACCAGGGATGGGATGGGAAGGGACAGAAAATTTCTAAATAGATTAGAAAATAAAGATTTTTACATATGTTTGTGTGTGTGTGTGTATATATTTATATGTATGTATATATGTATACACATACATACATATACATATATACATATATATGTATGTGTATATATATGTATGTATGTGCGTGTGTTTGTCTATACATATGTATATGTGTGTGTGTATATATAGAGATATAGATATAGACATAGATACAGATATAGATATGAAGGTTATTAGTGGTTACCAGAGGTAGGAGGGAGGGGGAAAGGGGAATTTTTGTTCGTGGGTCATTGACTTTATGCTAATAGGTGGTGGAATATTTTGGAAAAGGATAGCAATAATGGTGGCACAACATGAAAAATGTCACTAATGTCCCTGAGGTGTAAATATGGAAGTTGCTATGTTGGCAAATGTCTTGTCGTATATGTTTTCACCACAATAAAAGTAAATATTAAAAAAAAAGGTCTAGGTTCCGAGTGTACAGTAGAGCTAACAACGGTCAAGGTTGTGGTGACTTCTTGGCCACAGCCAGCTACTCAGAGGGAGCGAGTAGTTGGACCTGTGGGCTCAGGACTATGGTCATAAGGGACATCACACTCAATTGGCATAACATAATACACAAAAACATTGTTCTACATCCTACTTTGATGAGTAGAAACTGGGGTCTTAAAAGCTTGCAAGCAGCCATCTAGAAGCAATGATGAGTCTCTCTCATAATCCAGAGCAAAGAAGAATAAAGAAAACCAAAGATGCATGTAAACAGTTAGTCCAAAGGACTGGTAGACCATGCAATCCTCAACCTACATGGCCATGAGACCAGAAAAACTAGATGGTGCCTGGCTACCACTGTCAACCACTTTGGAGAGGGATCAGTGCAGGAGATCCTGGAGACAGTGGGAGAACAATGTGGAACAAAATTCAAAACCATAAAAAAAAAAAAGACCAAGTTTGCTGGTCTGATAGAGCCTGGTGAGACCCCTGAGATTATGGCCCCTAGTTACTCTTCAGGTCTGGAATTGAACTCCTATGGCTTCCAGCCAAACAATAGATAGGCAATATGAGGTAAACATTTATCACATAGATATACCACTTGGAGCAATCAATCATTAGAGACCAGAAGGGCAGTATTACCACAGGGAGACAGCTGGGGGATGTGAGGGGAGTACATGGAAGGGAAGGACACAGGGAAGAGGTAACTATAGGGAGAAAGTGGGAAAAAAGCTGTTACACTGCGAGGAATTGCAGTCAATGTAATGAGACAAAATGTATATGAACTGCTGTATGGAAAATGAATTTGCTCACCCAAATCACAATAAAAATTAATTAATTAACTAATTAATTAATTAATTGAATGAAAGAATGAATGAATGGCAATGGTTGGCATGAGACCAAAAGAACTAGATGGTGCTACCACTGTCAATCACTCAGAAAGGGATCAGTGCAGGAGATCCTAGATAGAGTAGAACAATGTGGAACTAAACTCAAAATCATAAAAAAAAGACGACCAGGCTTACTGGTCTGACAGAGCCTGGTGAGACCACAGAGATTACGGCCTACTTACTCTCAGGCTTAAAATTGAACTCACTCCTGTGGTTTCCAGTCAAACAATAGCCAGACATATAGGGTGAACATTTACATCATGCAGACACACTCCTTAGAGTGGTCAGTCATGGGAGATAGCTCACAGGGTGGGAACACACAGGATAGAAGGGCACAGGGAAGAGGTAACTAAAGGGAAGAAGTGGGAAGAGAGCTGTTACATTGTGGGGATTGCAGTCTATGTCATGAAACAAAACGTGTATGAACTGCTGTATGGGAAATGAATTTGCTCTGTAAACTTTCACCCGAATCAAAATAAAAATTTAAAAAATGAAACAAAATAGAGAGGCAGTGATTGGGGAAGGCTGTGCTGAGAACATGTGACATCAAACCCAAAGCTAAGGGAAGGAAGCAGCGTGGGGCTGTCGGGAAAAGCAGTTTCCTCCACAGAACAGCAGGCACCAAGGCCCTGAGACCAGTGTGCCTGGCAGGGTCAGGTGCAGCCAAGACCCCAGCAAGCCCAGAGAAATGGAGAGTGCTGCAGACCTTGTGGGTCATAAGGACTCTGGGTTGCTGATTACCAGAGAAACAAATAAAAGTCAAGGTAAGTGATCATGAGGTATAAACTGAGGGACCAGCAATCTCCTTAAAGGTCAATGTTCACCTTTCATTAGAAACCAAGAAAACACAAGCAATCCTAGAAATGAAGGCAATGCCTCCAATTTCTCCCAGTCCCACAAATCACCTATTTTAAAACATTTCAGCCAATTAAACTAAGTGCTTTTCCTTTGTGAAAATTCTAATTAGCCTTTTGCCTGAGAAGGGTGGCACTCTTCAGAAATGTTTTCTATACCCATCAAAATTCCATTAAGAAAAGAGAACTCTTGTACCAAGTGACAAAGGCAACAGGGACAAGGCAGAAGCAACAAAGGCAGAGGTGACAAGGAAAACAGCCACGGCCACATTCAAGGCTATTAAATCCTTTGACAGTTAAAATTACTAAATTACGATCACTACACCAAACTGCCCAGCAGACCCAGGGCCTTTACCCTGAGAATTGAAGACATTCCAGAATAAACCTCCACCACAAGGCTGATGTGGAATAACAGACCAGAGGAACAGGATCACAGCAAACTCCTCTCTCACACTTCCGATCAATCCGAGCTTCCATGGGCAGCAAAAAGTTGGTCAGTCTGGTCTGGCTAAGGCTTCAGTTGTAATAAGAAATTTCTACCTAAAAAACCCATCAGGGCCAGAAGGAGCTGAAGGCAAGAAGGTGACTAGCCAAACATGACAGCACTTACCGGGAAGTCATCAGTGTAGCACCAGGAGGGGCCTTCTTACCAGAAGGGTCGCAAGTGGCTCCGAGATGGCCTACTACCCAGTGGCCACCAGCTCCTCAACCAGAAAACTCTCCCTTCACCTACTGTAAAACCAGTTTGCGCAGAAACTGAGAAGGGGCTCATGCCAGAGCAGCAGGGAGCATGCAGGGAGGGTACTCACTCGGTGTGTCCAAGGCAGAAGGACTCAATGCTGTGGGGAGCTGCCGACCAGCTCACTCGGATCTTCTCATCACGGTCCGCAGTGAGGACATAACGGTCATCAGGACTCACCACCTGCATCACAGTGACAAGGTAAAGAAGCAGCAAATGCTACACCTCTCAAGCTGCAGCCATGAAACACCAGTCCTCCTCCAGCATCTGAGCCTTACCAACACTCCAAACGTCCCTCAGGAGGAAGCCTACATTCAACTGCCAATGGGACAGGGCTCCAGAGGATGCTATGCTGGCTCCCATCCCCCTCCAGATGTCCCTAGTCTAATCATTGTCCAGGCCCTAGCACTCCTGCTCTGGGTGGGTTCTGAGGGCCACCTCAGCCCCACCCTCAGCTGTGTATCTAGGCTCCATGAAGGGAGGGATTTCCCTGGGTGTTCTGTCTCCTGAGCTCAGTACATCTATTGATGTCCTCAACCCCACCCATTGAACCCCAGATATAAGCTCCCTCATCTCCAATAGTCAGGGTTCACCTCCCGATTTTCCTGTCACTATCCCCGTGCTCATTACCACATCCTGGTGCTTTCTCCTCCAGATATCCCGTCTCCCCTCCTTTCCTGGCACAGCTCCTGCCCCAACATCCCTAGCACAGGGCCACCCCAGGTGGTTACTTACAGATGGGATGGAATAATGCCAAGCTCAGGGTCTGCTGTGAGGACCAAATGAGGGCACCCCTCCCATCTACTTCCTACCTGCATTCGCCTGTCTCACTCCTGCATAAAGGGCTCTAGAGCGCAGCCACCATTATGGGAAAGCCACACTCTCACCCAGACATGCAGGGCACAAGGGTACAGTACCCCTCACTTCGTCCCCCACCCTCTTCACACCTCTACCCCCAGGTCCCAGGAGGTGGGAGCATCCCCAGCTGTCCCCTCCTGGTCTGCCCCAACAGTTTCTATAGAGAAGCCACTCTGTGAAGACCAGCATCACCACAAAGACAGGTGCTGGCTTTCCCAATGCACCACAGGCCTCTGGGGGGTTCGTGTACCCTCCTATGACCTTCAGCATTTCAGCACGAGGTTTAGTGCAGGCCGTGCAGACTTTCTAGGGGGTGGAGGACACCAGTCACAGGGCAGGAACCACAGAGGGGCACACTTGCTAGAACAATATTGAAGAACAGAGCTCACTGCTGTGCTATCTGAGAAAGACCCTGCTCAGAAAATGACCTGACGTCCTCAGGGCTCCCAGAAACTATTTAGGACACACATGTGCTCTACTTCCATAAAAGTAAGGACACAGAGCACCTTCATCTTAACTAATTAATGAACCACTCTCCCTTCTTCGAACTACTAATCTCTCAGCATTGTTCTTATGATCTGCTGCCATCATGGCCTCTGGAGTGTCACAAGCCGCCACAAGGGGGCCATGTCTTCCTCATCCTGTCTTCCCAAGATCCCTAGCCCAATGCCTTACATAAAACCACCATTCATATTTTTGTGAAACTGCCACAAAACTATTTGGCAGCCCCCTCCCAGGCATCCCAGATATCCTAATAGTGCACCTGCACAACAGGCTAAGAGAGCCAGACAGTGCACAGGCACAACAGACTTACGGAGCAGACATCAGCGAAGCAAGCGCCTACGTACCACATCCAACAGCATAGACAGGTGTCCCAGCTCAAGCTTCCCACATCCCTGAGGCTCTAGCACAGAGAAGGAATAGACATCCCCAGACTTGTCCGCCACCAGCACCTTCTCCTCAGAGGCTGTGAACGTCAGGGCGGTGCATCTCCTCACCACGGTTCTGGAAGGCCAGAAAGAGGTCTCAGATTAGTTATCAAAATTAATACAAGGGCCACCAACAGACCTTGAAAAGCTACATACTCAGTCAGTACGTGTCAGGTCCTCACCATATGTCTTCTTTTCTTGTAACCACAGAGCCAGATAAGCAGAGCCATTAAAACTGCAACAAAGCCGACATCCTAGACAAACTTGGCTTACATCATTTTCCCTTTTAAAAAATTGCTCCTAATGATAGAATGCAGGTGTTTTATATAAAATTCTTTCAACTTTCCTGTGTTTGAAAACTGCCAGAACCCAGTGTTAGGGAAATTGCTGCCAGACCCAGAATCTCTGTTCTTCACCTGGGTGACAGTGGTCAGCTTCTCATGTGCCAAGTGGGATCTGTCTGGGACACCATTAAAAACAGACAAAAGTGTACCCTCATTAGAGACCCTCCTTGGAGCTTTTATCAGCAGGACCTATGACATCTATGGCAGCCCATCCCTGTTATGTCCCACAGGACCAAGAATCCCACAAACCCTGCCAGAGATACAACCCTCCCCCAGAAGACAAGGCTGTCTCTAATACCCTGAAAGCTGGGGCTCAGTATGACCCAGAGCAGCAGTACAAGCATCCATGTGACCTTCCATAAGGCCACTTCCTAGAGCAAGGGGCATGTGCTGATGGGCAGTACTGACAACTGGGCAGTCCTGAGCCCCAGCTTGTATCAGGTTAAGATAACACGTTTACAAATTCAGCCCTTGACCTAGACCCATGAGTCCATCACATTTACAAGATGGTTTAGTAACGGTATTAGCCCTAACAAGCAAAGTGATGCTCGCTCTCCATTTACATGACCTGGGGCAGTATGTGTGGCATCTCCATGTGCATCATTGTCTGCCATCTCATCTCTAATGGAAGATAACACGCCCTCCACAAGGCAAGAATTCTGGACTTTTTCACTTTATAGAGATATAAGATGTGACACTCCTTACACACAAAAAGCAACACTTATTGGCTATCTGCAAAAGAGTAGCTATCCTCATTCCTCTGTGCCTTGATCTGTGGAGGCAGTCCCATGTTCCCAGGAGAGAGCTCAGGTCCACCAAGACCCTACCACAGCTGGATCACCATCAGACGTTAATTAGGAACGAAAGCTGGAGCTTAAACAAATGATGTGCCCAACTCATGGACTGACAGAGCCCTGCACTCTTGAGCTCAGGGGCAGAGGGATAAAAGAAGAAAAGGGACAAAGCCCTTCCAGCTGTTCTCCTGTTCATCTGCACTGAGCTGCCTGTAGCAGCTGAAACTCCTCTCCTCCCACCAGCCTACTGGTGCCAGTGGAACTGCAGAAGGGGGGCCATAATGGGAGAAAACAATGACAAGAGAAAGACAATTAAGCTCTTGGGCAAGATTCATCAAAATTCTCAGAGTGCTGTCACAGAAAAAGCCTGTGAGGTGCCTGCAACACGGGCTTGCGTTCTAATTGGCTAATTAAGCAGCTGCAACAAAAAGCCAACCACAGCATTGACAGGAACAGCCTGAGACTGAAATCTAAAGAAAACAACAGCCTTGGGCTCAATGACCCAGTACACATCTGGGCACCAAAGAGTCCCTCCCCCTATACCCCTCCCTTTGCACCCCCTCTGCCCCCAATTTCATCCTGGTTTCTGCCTCCCCATCTGCCTCCACATCCAGCTCAGCACAAAAATGGAATTCCTTATCCAGTCCCTTTGTTTCATGCTTTCAGTGGCTCAGGCTAAATGTGTCCTGGCAAAGGTTCCAGGGTATGGCCTACTGTGACCTGATGGTTGGGTCAGTTACAGGGTGAACTGTGTCCCCAAAAACTTCATGCTGAAGTCCTATCTGCAGCCGGGCCTCCACACACCTCTCTGAGATATCAGTTCTTGCCTCCTCCCCCTACACAAAGACACACTGTCCAGCCTCTGCTCCTATTCCCTCAGGGAGGCAGTCCCGCTCCAGGCATATTTCCATCAACAGCCTCCAATAATGGACATACCCTCTGACTCAGATCCCAGAGGCAGAGCCCAGCCCAAGGAAATAACGGTGTGTGTTAATAATGAAACTCTAGAAACAATCTAAGGGCCCAACAACGGGGACAGACACGATTTCACAATGTTCAGGATAGGAAACTATGTGAGGGAAATCAGGCTACAAACCAGCATATGCCCAATACTATAATTTAACATCTGCAAATGTTACACTTGCAGAGATAAACTGGAAGGACAGGTACCACCATGTTTATTATTCATCAAGGCTAGCTCTGGATAGTGAGGTTTATTTCCATTTGGTATTCTTCTGTGGTTTCAGATTTTCTGTATGGACCATAAAATTAAAGGGAAAAATGGAAAACCTGAATGTGATAGGGCACCAAACTGTACTCCAAAGAATCCCAGACAGAACAAATCAGGAAATTATTCTCAGTTTCCCTGATCTAATGTACCATCCCTCAGACGAATACTGGGTATGTTCCTGCCAAGGGTACTAATCACAATGTCAACGGGTAAGTCACACATCTGCACCAGTTCTCCTCAGCTGGCCTTGGAAACATTTCCCAGGTGAAGTTAATATACTAGAAAATGGGAATCCAAAGCCTCATTGGCTATAAAGGGATCTCACTTTACATATCTGTGCTACTGAAATGATAAATGAAAGTGAAGTTTTTGCAGACAGACTTACATTTTAAACAAACAGGAAAATACTAAGTTTCCTAATATACAAAGAGCTACCACAAGTCAACAAAAAAGGATCAAAACAATCAACAGAAAAATGAAAACACAGTTCATAAAATATAAATGTTTCTTTCATTTATAAAGAGTGGCTCTACTTCACTTTAAAAATAATAAAATAAGAACACAAGATATGATTTCTCATCTATCACATCAAGAATATATAAAGTTTGCTTGATAACACCCTGTGTTGCCCATCCAGGGTTGGGATGGTTACAATCTGGTTACACTCTGGGAGGTACATAGATATAAACCCTTT